AATTTAGTTTTTCAAATTTAATTTGTTTAAAAATGACTGAAAAAATGTTAATATTTATTAAATTGTTAAGATAGGTAATCATTATAAAATAAAATAGTAACCTCTATACTTTAGTTTCCTTCGAATTTAAAAAAAAAATCGTTGTAAGTTGATTAGAAGCTGAGATAATTTTTTTTTTATTTAATCGCAGTGACCTTAATTATTAATATTAAGAGCCGAAATTTGGAGAGAGTATACATTAAGAGCTATATTTTCATGTCCTTCCACATTAAGGTGAATTCAACTATTTAATTGCGAAAAAGAAGATAGCGGCGATGCGTTCTATTATTTGGTCTAGCGAACAAGTGCGGCGAGCGAGACGGAGCATGCGCGCTTAACAATTTATTAAATTTTAACATTTTATCAGTCATTTTTAAAAAAATTAAATTTGAAAAATTAAATTATCAGTAAATGCATAGGTCAATACAACTATTTAGGTACAAAAACAACTAATGATCAAAACCCTACAACGGCTGTGAGCTTGGGAAAAATGAATTGAAAATAGCATCTTCTTAGATAACAAATTCCGCCAACGCCAAGCTAATGAAGCTTTTGGGCTGAAATCTTTACCACTTATTAAGGGTGCAAAAAGCTTCAAAAATCCTGAATTACAAGTGTCTGCGATGAAAATTTCGCCCATTTTTGAGCTCTTGCGCATAAACAAATTGTCGGAATTTAATCGTACTTGTCTTATTTTACAGATTTATTTAATACCTACCTTTTTTGTATTCACCTTTTTTCTCTATGAATAACAGTTTTTTTACGCGAGTCAAAAAACCACTTTTCCATCATTTTGACCATTGTTTTAACAAAGTTTCCCAACTAGTCTCGAGTTGATTTTTTGATATTTTCTTTATAAAACGTTTCGGAACAATATTCCGCAGAGAAACTTCTAATAGTATTTTTTTCCCGAAATAAAGCTATAATGACTGGCCTAACAGCGGAGAACAAAATTTCGTTCGAAGATTTTCCACTGAATTTTTTCATTAGAAATTTAAAAAGAATTAAAAAAAAAAGGGAATTTCTAGGTAGGTATGTATGTCTCGTTTCACAAACTGCCGACAAAACTGACCAATAGGGAACCAAACATATGAACACAGTATTGAAACTGAAAAACCAACAAAAAATTTATGAAACTTTAAGATGTATTTATACTGTCAAAAATGTTAATCTACTAGAAACATTGAAAGATGAAGTTGGACTCCTAGTTTTGAAACATAGCATTTTCCATATTTAAGAGCGGTTTATCGCGATTTAAAAAATGGAGGTTGAAGGAGCAATTCTGGCTCCGGATTCTGATTCAGCGCGTCAAAATACATGAGGATACCTTGGATTAGTCTTTGGAACAGACCACTCTTCTTTTTTTGTATGTCTGTTCAATATATTTATTTTATTTTTGCAGAATAATTCACATAAAACAGATAATTAAAGAATAATAAACACGTATCGTAAGTTAGTGTTCAGTAGTTTCTTTTAAAAAACACATAAAAATATTAACCTGTGTAAGTCTATAATAAATGAAATATTTACTAACAAGAATTAAAAACATGAATACTGAGAACTTGATTAGTTCACATCTCCAACTTGTACGACCAATTCTGATGATGTAGGTCGCAAACAGTTCGTCAAAGACTGATTTTTAAAATTTAGTGGATATACTCAAATTCAGTTCATATTAGCTCTTTTGAAATCGAATTCGATATTTCACTAATTTTACACCTCAAAACAAACCTAACGAGGCCTCAAATCTCTACCATTTCTGATTATCGAGATGTCAACCAAATTTAGTTGGAGGATCTAGTTCGAGGATCATTTTCGGAAAGGTCTTCCATTCACAATTTTAAAATACATCTTTTTGTCTCAATTGGTTCGAAAGTTATGAGCAAGAAGATGATTTCGTGTTTTCGTTACATTTCAGTTTCTGAGATGACGTCTACATGAACGATTTTATAAACGTATCCACCTCAAAAGTGCTCTGTACTCACCGCATTCATTTTGTCAGTGTGGCTCAAGTTCCTGCCCAATTTCAGATTTGCAGCGACCAACATGGCTTCATCTACGGTCAACATGGGTTGCATGAGATCGTCTTGCATTATGTACCTTGACATTTTTCGGAATTGTTTGAGGTTTCTAGGTTCGCCATTTATTAAGACGGAACCGGTAGCACCACGACATCTGAAGATAAAAATATTATTTTAAAATTACATTAATTACAAATGATTGTTTTTATTATCTCACAGTAAAATGTAATTTTATTTAAAATTTAAAGATACTAGATACAGGGTCCAAAAATTTCTAGACATTACCGATATTTCCAAGATATGGAGAAAGAAATGGCCAATATTATTTATAATTTCCTTCTAATTATGTAATAATTGATAAAATAGAGCACAGAGTATAAACTCTAAGTATGATATATTTAATCAATTTCGCTATACAATATAAAACTCATTTTTTTCAATGATTTCCATTTGAGCACTTTTTTGCACCATATCACCTTCACAACAACAATTTTGTTGCGAAATTTGTTCTTTCACTAATTAAATGTCACTATTACTTTGTCCTGTAGACAATATTCGGAACTTTAATACTACCAGTTATTTCTCCATTGAAACAGCTTCACATGGCAAGTCCACTTAATGCATATATAATTATGATAAATGTATTCATACTTTAATCATTCTTATTGCCATACCAAACCCTAAAAAAGAGTCAGCCTCACCTTATTTTTCTTCATCTACGTGCAGATTTTAACGTAGGGGCGTACTCTTAATATTCTGATGCAATGAACAGAAAATAATCGAGTTACGATAACTAAAATCGAGAAAATATTTTCTGAAAATATTTATTTTGAATTACATAGTTGTATTTTGCCTAACTGAAATCGGGAAATCAAGAATGTAATGTTAGACATTTATATAATGTATTGTTTAACATACTCAGAGATAACTACATTTATAACCTTTGTGTAGGACCTACCATGAATATAATAATGTCAAGTATTTGCCTTCCAACTACTGATAAATTACTATAACCATCGAGACAATCTTCTAATTAACCTTTTACACCACGTCAATGATTCAGACGACCTTAAAAATTATTGCTAGTCATGCTAGGAATATATAGTATCTACATATATGTATATATTTTTTGTTCGGTAGTTACAGTGACCATTTTTATATGTCGTAGATAACATTTATGTTAACGGATGTAATTTTTTTGTTTAATTTATGTAAGCATAGGGCAAAATTCAATCTATTATAGTTTTGAAATAAGTTCGTACATTTCATTAAATTTTCCATTAATTGACCTTTTGGAAAATTCAAATGCAAGTGATATTTGTCCTAAAAATCTATTTACAGTATTATATGTAGAAAGTGAATCTTCTCAATTAATCAATAAATTACAAATTTAAAATAAACATCAGGTGTTTATTGTTCTCACATAACATTGTGCTCCTTTTTTACTTTTCTATTTATAATAAAAATAGTAGTAAATAGTTTAGTAAATTTTCTTGCGATATCAAAAAGGTACATAGAAAACCAAAGCTTGTGTTTATTATATCTCATTGTCAGTATATACTATACATATTTTTTTCATTTCTGTTTTTTCTGATTACAACAAAATATACATACCATATATTTGCTTTTATAGTTTGCATAATGTTTTGGTTTATTTACTGACCCTCCACAACGGATGGACTCAAGATTGTCTCTATTATGCTTTACCAATGCTTATAAGAAATCTGAACAATAGACAGTTTAAAAACAGAATAAAAATGTTTCTAATGAATAATGCTTTTTTGATATTGAACAGTTTTTTTGTGGGTAATGTTAATCTAATTTAATGTATTGTATTACCCTGTATATACTTATTTGTTATTATATTCTATTTAAAATTTTAAATATGCAAATTTTTTTTACTATTTTATTGTTTTATTATAGGTAAATTATTGTTCAGTCTATGACCTAGTTTAGTTTGTTTTAATGTGTTTCTTTCTTTCTTTCTTTTTTCTGTTTTGACGTGTGTAAACACTTTGTGTAATAACATGAAATTAAATAAATGTAATAAGTGAAATAAATGAAATGATTGCCATGGAACCAGTACGTGTGTGCGCTCTTTTAAGTTTACTAAGCAATTCTTTAAATCTTTGGAAAAATATCTTATTATAAAAGGTGCTCAGTCATTCTGTTCTAGATAAAAGACCATGTCCCATATTGTCCACCTCAATGATAAGGTTAACTGCGTTCAACATTTTTTTCTTAGCTCATGTAAGTTACTAGGTCGTTCTTTGTTGACTTTATCTTCCAGAGTCCACCATAGCAAGAACTACATAAGGAAAATCAGGAATTTTTGCGGACCATAAAATTACCCATTTCCAAGAAAGTTTCCTTTGTTTAAAACAGAATGGGATTATTATAAAACATTCTTATATACCATTTTTCACAAAAAAGTTTTAATCATTTTTTTTTTCATTAATGTAGGTCTTCAGGGTGATTCATTAACAATTGGAAAATAGAAAGCTGAAGATACTACACGTGAAATGGTGACCATTGGCGCAAACATGACTTAATACAAATATTGACAGTTTGAGAAATACGGAGTGTTGAAATTTAAAAGTTTCTGTATTATCATCTTAAAAATAGTCAGTTTTGCGATTTGTTGTTTGCATAGCATTTCCGATTAATTTTGGCGTAGCTCAAAAAGAATATTTCTTTCCATATAGTTGTTTTAAAGACCAGTAGTAATTCGAAAGAGCAACATTTAATTTCGATGTTTTTCTTTCGAGATATTTGCTCTTGAATGTTTCAATGTACACCTACTATTTTCCATTAATATACAATTATTTTCTTAGATATAAGCTGATATATTCTCTCTAAGGACCCCAGAAATTCTGCACTACTGGATATACCAGAAATTCAATCACTGATTTTAAATCCAAGTAGTATTTCTTTCACTTTATTTGATAAAACGGAACAATTTCGACTTATTTTACTTGCATTGCCGTTATCGAGCACTTCAATTAATTTAAAATGACTAGAACTATTGTTTCACAACAAAAAGCTTACAGATATTTTTTTATTAAAAATTCTATTTTAAATAATGTTGGTTGGTACAAATGAAAAGTCGAAACAAATCACTGGCGTAGAATATTTGCATTTTAGGAGCTGTGATCCACCTCTAGCAATTCCAAAATTTCCACGACAATGGTATTTTCAACATTTTCTCTAAAATATTCAACTCCATTCAGCTGCAGGTGTGGGAGAGACCCACATTAAATTTTACTGGAGGAAAGGGAGGTCTAAATTTTTAAATTCCGCCATTAGTGAGAAAAAAGTGCTATAAACAATTAAGAGAAACATATACATTCTTTTTTAAGAAAAATACAACACTCAAGCGTAACTAATTTTATAATCGTAGATATATAAAATGAGCAATAATATCATTAGTTGTTTATTCCTTTCTCCAGATGGTTTCTTGTCATAATAACACGCTAATATGCGCGACTACTATTCCAGGAAGAATATATAATATGTTAATCAAAATAATTACTAGATATGTTATAACGAAAAGGAAACACGTAAAATTTAGAAGTTGATGTATAATATTGAATACAGTGGCATGACATCTGACGCATTTGTGATTATTTATATCTACAAGCATAGATTTTAATGAAACAAAATTGCAAATTTATTTCATTATTTACAGCCTTTTAAAGCGAGTAAGAAATTATATGGTAATTTTAAGTCATTAAGCGCATTTTATACAATTCATAAAATATTATTAAATAACACAGGCGCACACAAAAAGAAAAGTGGTCTGTTCCAAAGATTAGACTATATATCCTTATGTATTGTGATACGCTGAATCCGAATACGGGGCCAGAGTTGATCATCACCCTCCATTAAATTCTTATTCCATTACTTACTCCATTAAATAAAATTAAATCGCGAAAAAACGCCCCTAAATAGAGAAAATAAGCAAAATCTTTGGAGGAACCGACTGAAAATGACTGCAGATCCATATTTACAAGTATATGTATTTTGATACGCAGTATCCGTATCCAAATTCAGAATTGCTCCATCATTCCCTAGCTTTTTTAAAATGGCCGAAAATCATCATTAAATACGGAAAATTCCACTCTAGGCGGGTATAGCATTTGGAACAATCGTAAAAAGAGAATGGAAGTTACTGCAGGACCATATCTACAGGGTAGGAGAGTACCGATGGTCTATCTGAAGTTACGTGAGAGCGTTAAAGTAAGCCATAGAAATCCATGCGATAGAGAAGGATGGCTATAATGAAGGCCTCTCATAGTCACCGCCCGTTTCGCCCTTCCACAAATAAGATCCACTTCTTATTTGTGGAAGGGCGAAATGGGCGTTGACTATTAGACG